TTCTTCCCAGGAAGTGTAGCAGACTTTTTCAGACCTCCACCAGCTTCTAAATCGTGACACGGAGACTTATTATTAGTTATGAATGCTCAGCCTTATCATAGGCTTGTGCCACTGGCTCTCATAACGTAACCTGTGTTTTGCCCTGGGGAGTTTTTCCTTTCTTTCATTCTGTATGTCCTGCTTCCTGTTTCCTCCTTGTCTGGCTGTCTGGCTCCTGGCATCTTCCTCTCTTTCTCCCTCCTTCTCTCTCTCCAGAGCCTAGATTCCTCTTCCTACTGATTCTCTCTGTCCATCAGCCCTGCCTATCCCTCTACTGCCTAGCTATTGGCCGTTCAGCTTTTTATTAGACCGATGAGGTGCCTTAGGCAGGCAAAGTAACTCATCTTTACATGATCAAACAAATATTCTGCAGCGTAAACACATCTTTGCCTAGTTCAGTCTTCCACAACAAGGAAGTCCTTTTCACCAGAGCTAAGTTTCTCTTTTCTTTTTTATCTGAATTTATTTTCTGCTAGCAATCACACTGGAAAATATCTGATCAACTCATTTTAATAAAGTGCATCAAAGGACTTATGTTGCCCTCCATTCTGAAAACAGGGGTCTGTTACCTCTGAACAGCGGCTTTGGTTCAAATAGTCTTAGAATTCACTAGAGAAGTTGGCTTAATAATTCTGAAGGTGAAGCTGTATTTCTTAAAGGACTTTGAAGACCCCCACCCAAACTTAGGCTTTAAAGAACTTTAAACAAATATCTGTCTAGGAATTTGGAGGCAAAATAATATGATAGACTGGCAAACACCATTAGAATCACAGAAAAACTAGATCAAAGTCTAGGCTCAGTGTGCAGGTTCTTGGAAAACAAAGTGACATAGTGATTTAAATTATGAATATTGACTCATACTGCCCACATTTTATTCACACTTCAACATGGTTAATATTAGGTGAGTTACAGAGCCCCTTGTACAAGCTTCTGTTTCTCATTTTTGAAATGAGATAACACTGTTGCCTACCCCTCTGCTGTGAGAATTCTGATGTAAAGCACCAGAAGACACAGTTTTCTGTCAGCCTCAGCTGTCACAGAACATGGCTTAACTTCTTTCTCATCTGTAGAAATAAGGGGAACGGCATTTACCTTTTAAAGCTCATCTATAGAATAAATGAAGTGGCATATAAATGTGTCCGGCACAGCTTGTGGCATATAACCAGTGAGATGGTCGGCAGGTAAAGGCATATGCCACCACGCCTTACAACCCGAGTTGAACTCCTGAGACACACTGGACGGAAGGAGAGAACTAACTGCCACACGTGGTCCTCTGCCCTCCACAGATACCACAGCAGGTGTGCAAAACACACAAAACTAATAATAAAACATGAAAAGAATTCAGTAATAGATTGGTTTCCTATCGCATGTTGTCCTGTATATAATTAAGAACATTGAAAATTTGAAAACAACTTAATTCACTGAAATCTTAATATATTCTTTACCACTGGTGACCTTGCAGTGCTGTTTAAGAGAATGATATCCATGTTATCTAATTCAAGGACCAATTCTCCTTTGACTACCTAACTTCAGTACTGTTGGCCACCATCATTTCTTGATGGCACGGAAGCATTGTCCTACATGTGATTGGTCTTCAGTTTCTACCCCTGGAACTTCTTCTTGGATTAAACATTTTAAAATGAAATGTCATTTATTTATTTGGGGGGTACATGCATGTGAAGATCAGAAGCCAGCTTGCAGGAGTCCATTCTCTCCTTCCACCACGTGGGTCCTAGGGATTAAACTCAGGGCATTAGGCTTGGCAGGTACCTTACCTCCTTTGCCCCTTACAGATCTTTAAAATGGATTTTTAGAAATGGAGTCACTGTGTGTTCGTGTGTCCTTACTCTGTTTTCTTGAAGCGGTCTCAATCTCAGCCATGCATCTGTGACCCTCAGCTCAGACCTCCGTACCCAGTTCTAGACCAGCCATCTCCTCTCTATTATCATTTGGCTCTCCCTCCTGCCCAACAGGCATGGCCGAAGCTAAGTATATTTTCTCCCAGGAGATTGCCTTTCATCTTGGTGTTCTTTATGCTAATTTGTAGTATTGAACTACCCAGTGTTCTGCTCAGAAATTTGGGATTTGTGCCAAAACGTTTTGTTAAAAACAAAGTGCCAGTTTCCCAGGCTGGTGACCAAAATAGCTGCCCGATAAGCAGTGCCACCATTCAGTGGTTCAAGTGTCGCATCTTGATAACAAAAGGTCTTTTCTTGGCCCTGTTGCTGATTTTACATCGTCACATAGTAACCTAACCAGATTCCACAATAGTTTCACCATCTGTATGTACCACAAAAGGAGAAATGTTGATGAGATTCTCACATAAAACAAGCTCGCAAATGCAAAATGCTATAACATATCTTGTCAGAGTTCTCAGGAAGCAGTAACGTCTGTGAAGGTACCCATTCATCACAATGAAAAACGTTCAAGAATGTGTGTGACCACTTACAAAACCAGCTAGTGCCGGGAAATGGAAGCAGGGACAACCACTTGACACACAGACACACACAGCATGTAGAGGAACATAGCACATAGAGGCTCTAATAGGAAAAAACCCAGAAACAAGCTCCATGTCAGTTTTATTGCTGCTCTGTGACTTGTTATGGTCTAAGAATTCAAGTCGGTGTCAGAATTGTTCTCTCCCTGTTGTTTCCTTTCAAAAAGCTTAGTGCTTTCAAAGGTTTCAGGCTGCTGTGTCATCAGCAAGCTATTCTGGGTGCTGTGTCCTTGGAAAGGGGAAGGGACACGATGATTCACGTTGGTCATGTCTCCCCTTTGTTTTCACAAGGATGTGGTACGGATCCGAGTTGTGTTTTGTCTTAATCACTCGGGGCCCCCTGGGAAGCTGTGACGTCATGACTATTTCTTAGAGGGATCTCGTTTTTGTCAGCCTGTGTCTGGGATACCTTTTACTCCTTTTGTAAGGCAAGGTATAACAATGCCATCTCTCTCTGTTCTGCTGCCTAGAAATCTAGAGACAGCTCCCGAGATGGCTTAACTGAGTAGGAGTAAAAGGATCCCTTCCCTACCTCCAAGAAGAAACTGTGCTTAGCAATATAGACACAATAAAAATTTTTAATGATTTATTTTTAACATGTATGAGTATATTGTCTACATGTTGTATACATGTGTACCATGTGTATGCCTGGTACCCATGGAAGCCAGAAGAGGGCCTTGGATACCCTGGAACTGGAGTTTCTGGCAATTGTGAGCCGCCATGTGGGTTCTGGAAACCAAACCCAGGTCCTCTATAAGAGCAGCCTGTGCTCTTAACCTCAGAGCCGTCTCTCCAGCCCCAAGGTAGCCTGATTTTGTTTGTTTGTTTGTTTGTTTTTTGAGACAGAGTTCCTCTGTGTATCCCTGGCTGACCTGGAACTTGATCTGTAGACCAGGCTGGCCTTGAACTCAGAGATCCACCTGCCTCTCTACCTCCTGAGTGCTAGGATGAAGGGCATGGGCCACCACTGCCTGGCCATGATTTTTAAAGTAATAATAATAAAAAAAGCTATGGGCTTTAAAAAATATGCACAATATACTCTTATTTGTTGAAACTTTGACATATGTTAAAAAGACTCAGAAAAATACCACCCATAATCTTAATACCAAGTAATAATATCTACTGTAGTAATAATATCTACTATTTAGCATCCTGTTGGATATTATTTTTTCTTTTATTTTTCTTTATATTTAAATTCTTATATTTAAATTATATATTTATATATTACATATAAATATATATTTATATATTAATTCTTATATTTATTATATAAAAGGCATAAAAAAGCCTTTTAAAGTAGTTAAGATTGTACCATATGTATCAGTAGATAAGTTACTTTAATCCCAGCACTTGGGAGGCAGAGGCAGGTGGATCTCTGTGAGTTCAAGGCCAGCCTGGTCTACAGAGAGAGTTCTAGGACAGTCAGGGCTACACAGAGAAACCCTGTCTTGAAAAAACAAACAAAGAATTAGTGGTTAGTTAGTACTTGTGTAACATTTGGTGAGAAAAGTAAACTAAATCCCATTCTGCCATGTGTTCTGTATTCTTGGACTGTTTGCCTTTGGTGTGCCTCCTCCTGCCTGTTCGGGAAGGCTTTGGAAATGAGAGCATTCAATGCTGAATTTAAGGGTTGGGAATGTATCTGTTGTTCGAGCGTATGTGTGTTTTTATTTCCTGGTGTGGTCCCTGACACTAGACTCTTGCAATGACACGTTGAATTTGAGAGGCCCCTTCCCCTCCTCTGGCCAGAGCTGCCTAGTCAACAAGCGCCCCCAGCTCCTTGTGCATGGAGTATGGTGAGTGAGCACCAGGAAGGCAAGGGCTGAAACTCTGTCTTGCTCTGCTTTCTCCTTGTGCCTGCTGGGCTCTGAGCCGTGGAGCTCAGCTTACTCTGTGGAGGACACTGTGTGCCCTCACCTGCCCTTCAACACTTCCACACTAAGAGTCCACTTCCTGTGGTCCTCACTGACTTAGAGTTCCCGCTCTCGTATGCTCTGGGTGCTCCTGTGTGTGACTGTTGTACCATATGAGATGTAGCCTGAATGAGCGAAAGCCTTGACAGTGGGCCTTTGTGTAGTTCCTAGAAGACAAGTTCCACATGGGACCTGGTCACAGTTGAGAGCATCCCTGTCCTTTGTCAGTGCTCAGCACTGAGTTACTCCCCTTTTCCTGTTTAGTGGGGTAGGAAGGACGGTCTGTTACCTATGACTTTAGATAGTAAAAAGATCTCTAGGATCTCTACATTTATCCTGTCTTTTTCCATCCAAGAGGTTTGGTGCTCTGCGACTCGTAAGAGCCTAAGTAATGCCATTAGAAGATAGACAGGCGTCTTCTGTCCAGTTTCTGATCCTTGTTACTGGAGAGCACCTCTAGCAGTAACATCGTCAGACTTCTTGAAGGAGTGTGGTTGTTACAGGTTTTCATTTTCAGTCAGAGATTTATATCCACCCTCCATCTCCCACAGAGGGTGGTCAGTACCTGTGTTCGGGAGAAGGCATGTTTCGAAGACCATCAGAAGGACAGTCCCTCATCAGTTACCTCTCCGAGCAAGACTTTGGCAGCTGTGCAGACCTGGAAAAGGTAAGGCCTCAGAGGGCAGACGAGGAGCTGGTGCAGCGAGGGCCCCGGCCCGATGGTGGTGCTGCCGTTGTTTTCACTGGTTCCGATGGCAGTGCCTGTGAGCTGCGGTGAAGCACAGAGATCTCTGTCCAGGGAGCTCTTCAGGGAACCTGTGCTTGTCATCGGTCAGTGCTGTCCTGTGCAGAGACATTGCATGTGAGCCACGCGGTTATTGTTCTTTGACTCTGGGACCTCACATAACTACTCTTTCCAGAATCAAGTTCTCCATTGATTCCTGGGCTCAAGTATGTATAAATAACCTCTGTACACTGGTCTCTTATCTTGGGACTACTGTGTGTACACTGGTCTCTTATCCTGGGACGTATTTACCCTACTACTGTGTGTATGGGTATGTGACTCTGGGAAAAGAGTCTGTTTGGAATTCCTGGCATATTCTCTCCCTCGTTTCAAACATGATTGCCTGGTTTCATTAGCTTAATTAGTAGCAAAGAGTGAATTGTGTATCAGCAACATGTGAAAAGAGCTGCAGTGTCCAGTGGGCTTAAAAATAGTGGACACTTAACTTGATCCAGTCTGTAAACTACATTTTGTTGTTGTTTTTGAGGCAGGGTTTTACTATGCAGCCCAGGCTAGCCTCCTCAAATCTTAAGATTCTCCTGTCTCTGCCCTCTAGGGGCTGAGATTACAGGTGTGGGACATCCTACCTGGCCTGAGTTAATTTTTAAAACTTCAAGTTTTATCTTTAGAAGTTGATTTAGTTCAATTTTCTTTATTCTTAGAAGTCATGTAATCAGAATTCTCTAGGAGATCCAAAAGTATCTCCAAAGCTAATGATGTTTCAGTCTACACACTGGGCAGAGCTTCAGATAGTCAGGCCATGTGAGGCAGGTCTCAGTGACACAGCGTGTCCATGTGTGGCAGGTCTCAGTGGCACAACATGTCCACATGTGGCAGGTCTCAGTGGCATAGTGTGTCCATGTGCAGCAGGTCTCAGTGACAGTGGTGCTGTCCACGTGCGGCAGGTCTCAGTGACACAGCATGTCCACGTGCAGCAGGTCTCAGTGACACAGCATGTCCACGTGCAGCAGGTCTCAGTGACACAGCATGTCTACGTGGCAGGTCTCAGTGGCACAGCATGTCCACGTGCAGCAGGTCTCAGTGGCACAGAGTGTCCATGTGCAGCAGGTTTCAGTGACACAGCATGTCCACGTGTGGCAGGTTTCAGTGACACAACATGTCCACATGGCAGGTCTCAGTGACACAGCATGTCCACGTGCGGCAGGTCTCAGTGGCACAGAGTGTCCACGTGCAGCAGGTCTTAGTGGTACAACAGTGCAGTGCTGTCATCTGCATTTTCTCGGTGGCTTGTAATGGTAGAAACGTTTGCTGCCACACACCAACAAGCCTGTGAAGGCGTTCCGTGGTGTATAAATACTCACTTCAGTGTAGGGATGTTTTACCCCTACCCTCTTAAGGAACAAATGCTCTTTATCATCTGCTGTGGGGGTCTGAACCACAGCTTTCTCCAAGCAGCTCCTTTCCCACCAGTGTGCCCTGTGCTTGCAGTGTGATGACTTTTTTAACCATCATTTCTTTCATTGCATTGAGTGGAAATGGGGCTGTGTAGGGGACTAAGGTTGGTACTGAGGTGATCTTGGGCTGACCAGCAAGAGCAAAGAGACTCTAGAACAGGCCGTCTGTCTGCCTGTCTGCTTTCCCCATAGCAGACCAGTGCATTTTCCCTGGTGGTTCCGGGTCTTAGAAGCTCTGCTTCCCCACATTGCATGCAGCAAGGTGTTCCGTACGTCCAGTCCCTTCACAAGCAGCTTCCTCGGTGCCCCCCTTCCTCCAGGAGAATGCCCACTTCAGCATCTCAGAGTCCTTGATTGCCGCCATCGAGCTGATGAAATGCAACATGATGAGCCAGTGTCTGGAAGAGGAGGAAGTGGAGGAGGAAGATCGCGACAGGGAGATCCAGGAACTGAAGCAGAAGATCCGCCTGCGGCGCCAGCAGATCCGCACCAAAAACTTGCTCCCTGCATACCAGGAGACTGAGCATGGAAGTGAGTGTGCCTGTGAGCATCTGTGTGTGTGCCTCTTCACAGCGTCACAAAGCTCAGGGCCATGTGGGCTTTGGTCTCTGGTCTTCGTGTGAGGTGGTATGCCTAAGCTAAGGGTTCCTCTGCTGTCAGAAGGTAGTTCTGGGTGTTCTGTTCTTGTTTTTCCCATGTTTCCTACATCAGAAATAGCGTTCTTCCAAAATGGGTTTCTGAGGTGAGAACTAAGGCCAGGGGTCACAGATGGACTTCTCCAAAGTAGAGTGAACCAGCAAGAAGTCCAGTTCCACTCACAGCTTCAGTCCCAGCCATGGTTCTGCTCACTCTCCTCTGTTCAGGTCTAGGTTCTTTATTGTGGCATGGAGAGGGGGTGAGAAACCCTCCATCCTGTCTGTGACGATGATGGTGTTTAATATCACAGGCTTCCGGGTCACCTCCAGCAGCTCCCAGTTCAGTTCACGTGATTCTACACAGTTCTCGGACTCTGGCTCTGCTGATGATGTTGATGAGTTTGAAATCCAAGGTAAGAATTGGCAGTCTGTTACAGGGAGCTTTGGTTACTTGTTTCCTTTCATTAGGAATATTGGAAGAGTGACCCCAAAGTAGATCTTCATGACCCACTTTGGAACATGGTTAGTTATTGTAAGGATGGCTACTCCTGATAAAAACAGAGCCCTGTTAAAATTCACGCCGACATGAGCCTTGAAAGGAAGAGGGTGGTGGGCTGTTGAAGTCACCCTGATTTTCAGTCCTCCTGTGTTTATCTTTCTCTTGGGTCCTCACTCTCTCCCCCTCTAGCTCTTTGGGCTCAGCCAAACCACGTGAATTAGGGTGCTTCCCTGTGCTCCACAACACAGTTGAAATGGTTCCAAAAGATGTAAGAAGGAGTTTTATAGTAATTTGCAATTTGCCGGGAAGAGGGGGGATAAGAATCATTAAAGAAGAAGCAAAAAAGGGGGAAACAGTCAGGTTTACGAAGAAGAGCTTTAATTCCTGTCTTAGCAGCCTTCAGGCAGAGCCGCAGGCTCTGTCGGAAGCACCAGCGCAGTGAGGGGAGGGGCTGCCTCTGGAGGGCGTTTGTAGTAAAGCAGTTACGTTCCTTCTGCGTCACTAGATCCTCAGAGGGGATCTGACAGCAGACCAGTGAAAGTCTTAGGTCCAGCCTGGTGAGTCAGGGAGTCCCCTGGTTTGCTGACAGGCTGCATCACCAATAATAATAATAATAATAATAATAATAATAATAATAATGTCACACCAGCATGAGTGACAGCCTCCCAAGAGCTGCGTAGATGGAGTCCCGCCTTCACCTAATCTCCCACTTCCTGTGTAGTCTAGCACCTCCTGAGCCCACGTGCAGCGGGCACGGGCATTACTCGAAGGTGGGGAAGGTGGGCAAGAGTGAACGAGCGTCTGATGATCTTCCATCCCGGTTTGTATGAAGGAATGTCAGTAGATTCCATCTGGGAGGGTCTCGTTGAGTTTAGCCGGGGATCAGCTGCCTTAATGTGGCAGTGGCTCCATCATGCTTGAGTGATACGCTTCACAGCAGCCCTATTCTGCAAACCATAGATTTCTTCAGGACCCCACAGAGAGACAAACTAGCAAGCACATAAGCAAAACGATTCAGGTAGAGAGACTCTTCCCCGTGGTAAAGCTGAGAATGATTTCCTCACCGAGCTGAGTTGTCTGCACCCACTCCGTTATAACACTGTAAAATGATAACAAACAGATACTTTTATGATTTCAGTCTTCAGGGACCTCCTGAGGAGCCGGAGTGCTTTCCACTCAGAAATTCAGATTTTACACAACTTTTCCAGGCCCCTGGGAACTTTGCTCTTTGTTCTGAATGTGTTTGATTTCTGTTCCTGACAGTAATAGGAACTTAAAACTCCCAACCCCCTAGTTTGTGTGCGTTTTTTTCTAACCATAATTCTCACCAAGTGCAGTCCTGTTGGAGACTGTTACTTCACTTGTGGGCCCCAAGGGTGTTTGCAATCAGCTAAGAACAGAAATTCTTAAAGGAGACAACCGTAGGACGGGATTCCTCAGTCTTTAGGTCCCTGTCATCCTTTGTTGTGAGGGACTGCTTGAAGATTGAGATGCTTGCCATTATCTCCAGCCTCTACACACCAACTGCCATTAGCGCCCCCACTCCATACTCAGTAGTCAAAAGCATGACCAGATATTCCGAACGTCACCCTTAGCTGCTTCTTAGGAGGTGCTTGAGGCTGGGCTGGTTTGGGGAAGTAGCAGTAGCTGTTTTCCAAGCCCACCATGCATGTGGGTTCCTAAAAGCTGCACAGAAGTCACGGCCTGATCCCGAGGACGTGTGGTGTGGAATTGTCAGTCTCAGCAACTTCCTCTCTAGAGGACCCTCTTTATAATTATTATTGCACAGATGGTAGAGAAGGCTCTAACCTGACTCACATGTCAAAGAGTGGACTCTCAGTGTCAGTGGCCTCCATGTTCTCAGGTAGCCATGCTGGAAGTGTGGACGTGCTTCTACCTGCATGTGTGTGAATGTTTGCACCAGCTTGTGTACAGGTTTGATCTTGGGACACTTGTCAAGGTTATGAGAACTCTGTGAACTAGAGAACTTACCAGAAAACACTAGACAATTCAGATGCCATTTTACATATGACTCAAGCTGTCCTTGCCATCTCCCCTCACAGTGATAATTTTAGATTAGGTAGTCATGTGACTGATGGGGTCAAAGTGTAGAAAGGAATAGTCAAAACTGGAATATTGGTGGATAAGAGCATAAAATGTATTTCATACTGAGTAAGATTTAGTGTGAAGCTCCTCAGCTTACTTTTTGAATGCCTACTAACTGTATAGAAATTCACAGGAAAGACTCCAAAGCTATACAGAGACCCTGTCTCAAAAAACAAACAAACAAAAAAAAAAGAAATTCACTGAATTGTGTAGACTTTGGATCTGGTTAATTTCAGTTTTTGATGCTTGTATTTATTTGCAATTTTTGTTTGGTTGGTTGGTTGCTTTTTTTTGTTCTTTTTTTGGGGGCGTTGCTTTTGGGTTTTGTTTTTTTGAGACAGGATTTCTCTATGACAGTCCTGGCTGTCCTGGAACTCACTCTGTAGACCAGACTGTCCTTGAACTCACAGAGTTCTGCCTGTCTCTGCTTCCCGAGTGCTGGGATGAAAGATGTGCACCACCGCTGCCCAGTTTATTTGCAAGTTGGGTTTTTTTTTTATAATAAATGTTATATTAAAAAAGAAACGGCCAAGCCAGGTGGTGGTGGGGCATGCCTTTAATCCCAGAACTCGGGAGGCAGAGGCATGCAGATCTCTGTGAGTTTGAGGCCAGCCTGGTCTACAGAGTGAGTTCCAGGAAAGGTGCAAAACTACACAGAAAAACCCTGTCTCAAAAAACAAACAAACAAACAAAGAAATAGCCAAATGAAGAATTTAAGTTCAGGGGCTGGAGAGATGGCTCAGCAGTTAAGAACACTTACTTCTCTTCCAGAGGATCCAGGTTCAGTTACTAAAAACCTTGCCAGGTGTCTCACAACCACCTGTAACTCCAGCTCTAGGGGCTCCAACATGTCTGGCCTCTGTGGGCTCTTACATACACACACACACACACACACACACACACACACACACACACACAATTAAAAAATAACAAAAATAAGTTTGAAAAAGGAATTTAAATTCAAGCTAGGTATGGTGACCCACACCTTTAATTCCAGCACTTGGCAGGTGGATTCCTGTGAGTTTGAGACCAACTGGTCTACATAGTGAGACCTTGTATCAGAGAAAAATGAAAAAAAGAATTTAAGTTCAGGTGCTGGACAGAAGACTCAGCAGTTCAGAGGGGTTGTTGCTCTTCCAGACTGGAGCTCAGTTCCCAGCATGCACACTGGGCAGCTCAGTTCCCAGCATGCACAGTGGAGCTCAGTTCCCAGCATGCACACTGGGCAGCTCAGTTCCCAGAATGCACACTGGGCAGCTCACAACCATCTGTAACTCAGGCTTCAGGAGATCTGATACCCTCTTCTGACATCCTGTAAACAATAAACGTAGGACAGGATGGTATGAGGTTAAAAATCTCTTTCGAGTTTTGAATTTTCAAAGCAAACTCCCAGAAAGTAATCTCTTCTAGAGAACTTCATACACAATTAAGAGTTACTGCTATAATGTTTGACATTCAGGAAAATAGTCTGTAGGATTAACTGAAAGAGAATAAAAATTTTCTTCTCAAAAAATTTTAAAACAAAAACTTGGAATTTTAATTACAAACTTTTAGTTTCATAATTAGAACTTTTAGTAATATTAACAGAATTGTTTACTACTGCTAATACTGTGATCCATTAGAATTTGAAATAATTATATAAGATTAGACCAAGATTTAGAGAAATAAAGGTAACAAAATAATGAATTTCTCTTTGCTCTGCTTTTGAACTGTCTTTTCCATCAGAGCATATCATAAGGCATAAGTACTGTCACTTGGCTTTCTTAGAATCCTTCTCCCCCAATCTTGGGAGCCTTAAGAGTTCAGTGCACATGAGGCCAGCACAGTGGCTTGGTTGGCTGAAGGTACTTATTGCCAAGCCTGAAAACCCGAGTTTTATCCCCAGAACGCACATGATGAAAGGAGATGACTAACTCCTGCAGGTTTTTCTCAGTCTCCACCCATACACGATGGCACACAAGCACTCACACGTGAGTGCACACACTCTCTAAATAAATTCACTAGAGGTATAGAAAACGTATGCAGATTGTTTACAAACGCAGATGGGATGACACCAGACCATCAATAGATAATCTAAAACTATTCCAAGACCTATGTAAGTAACTGCAACCAAGATTACCATATCCAGAGAAGTTATCATTTAACGTTCACGGAGCAGGACCGAAGTTTGGGTCCTTAAAACCCATGTAAAAGCCAGGCAGACATGATGGGAGGCAGAGGCTAGATTGCCAATAGCCAGATTTGGATTTAGCAAGAGACCCTACCTAGTAAGTAAAGTGGAGAGTGATTGAGTGAGACACCCAGCATCGACTTGGGGCCTCCACATACATGTGCACACATACCTCACATGTAGACATCCATACACATTTGGACATGCATCACACACACACACACACACACACACACACACACACACACACACACACCAAAGAAACAATGCTCAGAGAAAAAAGAACTTCCAGGAAAAGCACAAACTAAAACAATGTATGGCCACCAAGCCAGCAGTACAGAAGCTACTTAGAGCCCTGCACAGGAGGAAGACAGTCCCAGACACGAAAGTTCATGAAGGGAATTGTTGGACAAAGGAGAGCGAGGGAAGAATTTCCAACCCAGCAAGCCCCTCATATGTAAAGGGGAAAAGGAAAAGAACAGACAGTACTTGAACTAACCAGGTAAACAATCGACAAGATCACAGAAATCATCAAGTAGCCCTCATTGGCTGCTGCGTATGACTGTAGGTAAATCGTCAGCTCTCCAATTCTGACATGCAGGCTGGCTGATGGGATTAAAAACAAGATCCAACTGTTT